AAGGAAGGAAGGAAGGAAGGAAGGAAGGAAGGAAGGAAGGAAGGAAGGAGGAAGGGAGGAAGGAAGGGAGGGACGGGCCCAAGGTTAAAACTTTATCCTCCCTTCCTGTTTCACTTATCTCTTGCTCATAGCAAATTATCTCAAAACTTAAGGAGTTAAAACAATAATTTATATTGTTTCTCTAGATTTTTAGGACTGCATAGGTGGGAACTGCATGAGTGCTCATCTGGTACCTCACTTGGGGCTGGAGGGCCCAAGACGATTTAACTCACATGCCTGGCAGTCTGTGCTGTCAGCTGAAACATTGCTTCTCCTCCATGTTGCCTCTCCTCCTCCTCCATTAGGCTAAACTGGGCTTCTTCACAGTGTGTGGTCTTAGATTTCCAAAAAGAGTGAAGTGGAATCTGTAATACATTCTTTAAAATTATTGAAGTATGGTTGACATGTAATGTTACATTAGCTTCAGGTGTACAATGTATTGATTTCACAATTCTATACATTACTCATGCCTTTGGAGTCACAGTGTCTCTATTTCGACTGCCTTCTATTTATCAACTAAGTCCCAGTTCCAACAAGAGGCAAAACAGATTCTGCATTAATGAAGGGCAGTGAAGGACAATGTCACATTGCAAAAGTGAAAAAAATTCCAAGCAATCTACCACAGTTTCAAACCTCTGGATACTGGGCCACCCAGATCCCTGCCTAGGGAATCCGTGGCCTTTCCTCATTTCTAAGACAAATTTGTCCTTCTGGATCCACACTTTCTACCAGCTCAGGGGATCTCTTTTCTCTTCTGTAATATTGGCCTTTCTCTTGTTACCAGCTTTTTCTCAACATCATTTATCCATATTCAGATACCTTCCATAATAAATTTAAATCCACCTCAAACCCTTAATGGTTTGCCTGAAAAAAAGAAACCCACACACATTGGCATGACCCATCTCCCTCATTTTTAGCAAAACTCTTGAAATGAAGTCTGCTCTACACTCCCCTTCTTTATTTTCTTCCCTCTTTGGCTTTTGTGATACCACTGTTTTCTGATTGTCTCTCTCCTTCTCTGGACACTGCTACTAGTTTTCTTCCTTTGCTCATTAAAATCTTAAGTGCTATTTTTTTTTCCTTTAGCTCTCTTACTCTGTACTCTCTTAAGGCAATAGCATTTACTCTTGGCACCTGAACCATGCTCATAGAATGCTCACATATGTTCCATGTAGTTTCTGAGATGGTCCCCAGCAAGACTGAGCCCAGAAGCCTACAGAAGTAACACATTATCAGTTGCACTCTATTGGCCTTTCTTCCTTACCTCTATCATTTTCCCTATCAACACATTTGTTTGTGCTTTGAATTGACTCCCCTAAATCTACCTGCACCAACGTCCTTGTCGAGGGTCTGCTTTTGGGGGAACTCAAACTAAGACAGCTGATAGTCTAAGTATTTGTAGAATTGGTTCTCCTTTCCTCTCCACTTCCTAAATTCAGATCCTCCTTTCTCGTCTGGGTCGAGAAACCCCTACTTTCACTCTCTGAGTCTAATTTGCCCCTTTCCCAAAAATGTATTCATGACACTGAAAGCAAACAAGCTGCATAAAGCAGTTGATCATATCACATCCCTCTTTAAAGCACTGGTGGTTCCCAACTCTCCCCTTCATATAATAAATCTAAAATTCTTAAACTAGACTATCAGAACATTCCTGATCTAGACTCTATTTAGCTTGACAGTTTTGACTTCTACTCCAGCTACCCTGAGCTATTTGAATTATCAAAGGAGCTGTTTCTCCTTGCTTCTAATACCTTGCTGAAGTTGCACCAAGTTCTGACCTATTGAGTATTATAATAATCCCTTTATGGTTTTGCTTCCCTCCTAAGTTTTAAACAATCTAAAAACCATTGTGTTTGATCCATTTCATATCCACAGGGCCTGATGTAAATGCTGGGTGTATAGAATGTTCTTAATAAACATTGATCAATCTACGTAGCCTCAACTTAAATATTTTCCAAATAGTAGGCTCACTACTTTTCTTCAAATTGTTTTAACTCTAAAACTAATTTAATCAATCATGTTATAAAAATCTTTAAAAATTTCAGAGAAAGAACACTAACCATAACGTCCTTAATGTAATTTGGTTTTTGGTGAGCTCCTTTTTAACCTATGTGGATTTTTTTAAAGTTTATTTATTTTGAGAGAGAGAGAGAGTGCAAGTGGGGAAGGGGCAGAGAGAGAGGGAGAGAGAGAATCCCAAGCTGACCCGGCACTGTCAGCGTAGAGCCCAATGTGGGGCTTGATCCCACAAACTGTGAGATCATTACCTGAGGCAAAATCAGGAGTCAGATGCTTAACCGACTGAGCCACCCAGGCACCCCTAATCTATGTTTTACATAGATTGAGTAGTCCTTTCAGCTGAAAAAGTCATCATCATCATCATCATCAACAACCAACATTTAAATAGCATATACAATGAGCTAAATTTTATATACATTAACTCATTCAGATTTTGTGATGATACTGTGAGGTAGGTACTCTTGTTATTTCTATTTTACAGATGAAGAAACTAAGATAAGTGATTTGTCCTAAATCATACAACTAAGTAAATGACAAAAACATGATTTGAATTTGTGAAGTCTGGCTCCAAAGTTCATGCTATATTTAATGGAGAAGATTAAGTTATTTGGTATATGGAAAGCACTTAGAACAATATCTGGCATAAGGTATAAATTTAATAAATGCTAGCTATAATTATCATTGCTATTATGATGAATATATTGAATATAATTTGGTATCTTTCACTTTGAATTGTCATAGTTTTTCACTAAATTAGGTAGATTTTTACTTTGAATTGGGTCATAAATATTTTTAATACTACCATGCAATCTTATTAGCTGTTGTGTTTTATGACTGAAATATTGTATAGAATGTCTCTGCAATAATTAGTTCTTGCTGTTGACCATATTTCTTTTAATCTTTCATATTATATATAACACTATGAGCATTATTTTTATGCATTAGCCTTTTTTCCCTTAATTTAGGCCATTTTTTAAGGATAGATTTCCAGAAGTAAGAATTATGCATTAAAAGGTTTAAACATTTTCATGGTTATTTATGCATATAAAGAATGGCTTTACAAAGGCATTACAATAACTATGTTTTAGGGAGTCTGTTCAATAATTCAGTATTTGCAATTGTTATAAAACACTTCTATTTGTACTAGCTTTACCCAAAGGATTTACACAAAATAAGCCCCATCCCTTTCAATATGACAGAGTTTCAAATATTTATATATTTTAAAAAATATATTCCCTAAGTACCTACGCTTAGTTGACAGAACCTCTCAACTCTCCTTCAGATATTTTTTTTTTTTTTTTTTGTATAGTAAATATCCCCAACTTTCCCTCAAGCATCTCTGGTCTGACAAAATTACCAGGCTCTTAACCATCTGAGTCATAGTCTCCTAAATACATTCCATTGTGCCTATGTCCCTGTTAATTTGGAGATTACAGACATGGTCTGACAGTGCAGAGCACAGAGGGGTGATCACTTTCCTTGACCAGGGCATCTATTTCCAGCAATGCAGCCTAAGGTCACATTAGCATTTTTTGGTACTGAAATACACAGTTGGCTCATGCTTACTTCCTATCAACAAATCCCCCATGTCTTTTTTACATGAATTCCTATTAAATCACATTGCCCACATCCTGTATTGACGTAGTTAAGTGAAGTTATTTACATAGGTTCTTACTAAACTTTAACTAGTTTATTAAGTTTCTTGTTCCAGAATGTTGTGACACTTCTGATTGTCCAAATAGGTATATTAATTTCCTTGATGCATACCTTTATGCTTTCTGTATCTTCACAAAAGTCATAAATAAAGATATATGCTAAGACAATCCCAAGTACCGTCTTATGTACATAATTAACGTCCTTTGGTTTGCAGCGATCAGCATCTTTGTATATGGCTTTTCAGCCAGCAGCAAATCAGCAGCTGTGAATCCACCCAAGTGTCTTAACACTCAACTACATTCATTCATCCTATTCCTGAAGATATCATAGGAGACCTTGTTAAATGGCTTCCTAGGACTAAAATAAATCATGATTATATTTTTTCATTAATTATTATTAAATTGATTTTATAATTCTGTCTGAAAAAACAGTAAGTGATTTTAACCTGGGGTCTCATAACTATCCTTATTTTTTAAGTGCTTACAAATTAGTACATACTAATATTAAATCTTATAATAATCAAATATTTAATTTCCCTGTGAAATTCTTAGTTCTTCCTAGGAAAAAGTCACCTATGCTACCATGTGTGTTTTATAAACTAATATATCAGCAGACTTAACCAACAAGTATTGTTTCAGCCCCCAAATAAAAAATATAATAAAGTGATATATAATACAATAAATAAAATAATCTGAGATCTCTCTTCTATGTATTTTATGATTTTTTAATTCACATCACCTGCAATTTGGGGAAGAAACTCAGCTTATTTTCAATAACATTGCATTACTAACATAGGGTAACTATAATTATGTCTATGAGAACTACTGTCATTGTCTTAGAACTAGTCATGAAATAACTAAAATAAATGTTTCTCTTTGTTCAAAAATGCTAACTGAGTTATTTAACTTCCAGGGTGCTTATTGGCTCTCCTTTAGTTGGTCAACCCAAGAACAGAACTGGAGATGTCTATAAGTGTCCAGTTGGGAGAAGCAAACCATTACCTTGCGTAAAGTTGGATCTGCCTGGTATGTAAAGACTTTACATTAAAGTCTGATCCTAAATTATACTCAGTAGTTGCATTAAAAATAATTTTAACTCAATAAAATATGAGAAGAATCTATAAATGTTCTTCAATTCTTATCATTAAAATTCACATAAAATGACATTTTGATTCCGAACTTTAGAAATAAAAGAACTTTCCGAAAACCTGGCCCATTACATTGCTTCCACAAAATTTAATTGTTTGTTTGTTTGTTTGTTTGTAAAGAAAATAGCAGGGGCATTTGGGTGGCTCAGTTGGTTAAGTGTTCGACTTTGGTTTAGGTCATGATCTCATGGCTCGTGAGTTTGAGCCCCGCGTTGGGCTCTGTGGTGACAGCTCAGAGCCTGGAGCCTGCTTCAGATTCTGTGTCTCCCTCTCTCTCTCTTCCTCTGTTTCTCTCTCTCTCTCTCTCTCTCAAAAATAAATAAACATTAAAAACAAATTTTTAATAAAATAGCAGAGAAGGAATTGTAGTACATGAATTCTTTTAAAGAGAATAGCACAAGGTAAATTCATGTAGAAATGGATATATTTGATAGAAATATCACTATAATTAGAACATAACTAGAAAATTCCTGCTAGAATTATCCAAGACTTACAATTCAGTGTTCTATACAGTATTAAATGTATTAAAATAACACATACTTTAACGGTTTGTTTCAAATATTCTATTTTTCAGTTCTCTTTTTTCAATTTCCTGTTTATTATGAACATTTTCCTTTACATTTATGAACATAGTTATAATAGCTGCTTTAATATCCTTGCCTGATAATTACAACATGTGGAATATCTCAACATCGCTTTCCATTTATTACCTTTCTCTTGAGATTGAGTCACATTTCCTTTTTTTTCTTATGTTTAGTAATTTTGGATTATATCCTGGATTATACTTTTGAGTTATAAGTGTAGAGGTTCTAGATCTGTTATTTGCCTTTGAATAGTCTTAACTTTTTGTTTTAGCAGACAGTTTACTTGGCTGAACTCAATTTCTGAACTGCAGTGGGAAGCAGTTAAAATCTCCATTCAGTTCTTCTTATTGTAGCTGAGCTGTTTGAAGTTTACTCTGCATATATATATTTCAAGTGCTTCAGATATTTGGACAGAGCATACGTGTGTATGTTAGAACTCTCTTTTTGTGGCTCTACTTTCCAAGATATACCCCTTCACTTTACAGCTTCTGTCATTACCCTAATTTCTGTCCTTTGTTTATTCAAAACAGTAAGACTTTGACTACTGTTTGAGGTTTAGCCATAGCTAGGACCTTCCCTTGGGGGAAAGCAAGCACATAAACAGGAAACTCAGCCAGTGCTAATCTCTTCTTACAAGTATAGACTTCCCTCCACTTTCTGTCTGCTTTTGGTTGCTTTCTAGTGCCTTTAGATGGTTGTTTCTTTTTTCTTTTTTTCTTTTTTTTTCCTTTTCCTAGAGTTACTTGCAAAAGACTTGTTCTAATAGGAGCTACTCCTTCATTACCAAAAACTATAATGGAGTTTTAACATTAGCATGGAGATTTTAGCTGCATCAACAATAGTGGAGACATTTCTGCTGTGATCCCTAACATCCCAGTGTCCCAGCTCATCCTGGATCAACTCTAGTATAAAAAACTCTAATCCAGATTATTCAAGACCAGTGTAGATAATGGTCCAGTTCCAGGTGCTTTCAAGGCAAACCAGACTACACTCTGGGACAAAGACCGATGTACTCACATTAGGAAGACAGTGTGACCATTCAGGAATCTCTGCTTCCATTCCTCACTCTGCATCTATAATGGCCTTAAGGTAGGAAAAACTTTTGGGCATGAAGAGTGAGGTAAATCTTTCTTGAACCTGAGTTTTGCCACTCTCAAATATTTCAGCACTCTGCTAAGCAGGGTTTAGAAAATTTTGATATTCCTGCCCAGTCTTTTTTTTGTCTTTTTTCAATATGAATAAGTGGAACTTCCTGCCACTTTTGCCAGGTTGGCCTGCTTCAAGACCCAACATTCCCATCTGGAATGACAAATGGCATCCCTTCATTGTTTCTTTTACCTGAACTTCCTGACCACTAGTCCTTCTTGCTCTAGTTTTCTTTGTAAACTTCACGATGTCCCCATGATGGTGAAATCGATGTTCAAAATATGTATTGGTGGGGTTTTTTTCTGCTCTACTATCCATTTTCCCTCTTCTTGTCAGAAGTGATGCTATATCCTTGGCCATCTATAACATACAGATATAGCATGCAAGGTAAGTGTTTAAGTTTCCTTTATATATCTACAATATTATGAGGTTAAGTATTCTATTTGTTTTAATTAGCAAAAATGTGTGAAAGGCTGTCCCACATTTTCTCATTGCCCCACTAGCTCTGCATTCTTTTACAGTTCAGCACAAGTATTTGAGACAGTTATCCAGACAACATTTCTGGGACGTAAGCCAGGTTTTCAGCCTTAGCTTGTTCATTATATTCCTTAATAATACTTTGAAGACTATTTAGTTGAATCAAAAGAAAAATGTGCTATGATATGAACAAAGCAAATAGAATGTCCTAACGAGAAGGCACTTAATTTTACTTTGTTTTCCACCCTCATAAAAGTTTGTTTCTATTTTTAGTTAATACATCAATTCCCAATGTCACGGAAGTAAAGGAGAACATGACGTTTGGATCAACTTTAGTCACCAACCCAAATGGAGGGTTTCTGGTAAGAAAGCAAGGAGTTAGTTAATGAGCCAAGAATGCCGTCATTGTAAGTCTTTATAAAATTTGTTATATAATTTTTAATCTTATGGTTTTAATTTTTTAAAAGGCATGTGGGCCCTTGTATGCCTATAGATGTGGACATTTACATTACACAACTGGAATCTGTTCTGATGTTAGCTCCACATTTCAAGTCGTGAACTCCATTGCTCCTGTACGAGGTACAGATTTTATGTGATGTTCTTACATGTTTGAAAAGTGTAAGCAGTGAATGAGACATATATATACACAGGAGCATACCAAAAAGCTTGAAGTATTTTCTCAGCTACCAGCATTACCAATTTAGGTAAATGTTTGCTTTGCCAATATATAACCAAACCCCACTGCTATTTTTGGACTTGATATTAGTGTAAATAACCTTTAACAAAGTCTTGTTTAAACATCATAGCTAAAGCTGTCACATTGTTTTTATTTAAAGAATGAGTCTCTTTGAAGAAAGTAATCTCACTTGAAATACACACAGAATGAGAACAGTTACATAAATTCATACTGAGAAAACTTCCAAAGATAATTCATACAATGTTAATTACAATTCAGTAGAGATGTTTTACTTGATAAGAATCCCAAACCCATTGCTATTGAATGTAATGGTATTTATCAACTTTATTTTTGTAAAATTACTTCTTTCTGATTATAGAAGCAATGTGTCCACCATGTAGACTACCAGCTTATCTTTTTTTAAAATGAGCCTATTTCAGCCATGAAAACACTTCATACACTTTCATACTATCTAAAAAGATAAACTCGAAATTTGCACAGTTGACTCCTTTTATTGCAGAATGCAGCACTCAACTGGACATAGTCATCGTGCTGGATGGCTCCAACAGTATTTATCCCTGGGAGAGTGTTACAGCTTTTTTAAATGACCTTCTTGAAAGAATGGATATTGGTCCTAAACAGACACAGGTATGTGGCTATGCATTTTGATTTCTGTTGTTCTAAAGATAAAAATGCATAGATTTTTAATAAAACAAAATATTCTGAACATAAATTAATCAATAAAGCTAATATTCAGGATGAATTTTATATTCCATATCCCTGTTTTTTCCTCCTGATGAAAGGGACATTACTGGCAGACCCTGTTATTTTCTAAACAGAAAATATAATGAAAGCTGCCATTTCTGATGCTCTTGAAAAATATCCCCTATAAATCATAATTGAATTCTTACTTATAAAGTAAGTGTAGCCAGCTTTGGTAATATCAGAACAGGGTTTCAGAATTGGTGGAAACTAATCTGACTTCCCAAAGAACACATCACATTAAATCCCCTCTCTTATATTATACAAGTAAATTAGTAAGTGATCACAGGATATCGCTTAAAGACCATTTCTTCTCATCTTTAATAATTTCTCAAGCAAAATCCAAGTGCTCGATGCTTTAGCTACATTAAGCTGGATATTTTTTTTCTCCCCATGAGTATCTGTTTCTGGACACATTCTCTTTATTGCCATTAAATGAAGTGAAGCTTCTCACATGGTTCTCCCACTTTAGACACTGAATTTGGGTTTAATTAATCTAATGCTGATTAAACTTATACAGCCATATGGCTTAAAATACAGAGAAGACAGTGGATAACAGGCAAATTAAATGTCAGAGTGAGGTCAGTGCCTTGAGAACAGGAATTAGCACTGGAGTCAGAGTCAAATGGTTGTTGCATGGTTTGGGGACTGCAGGAGAGCAAAGAAGATGTTAGATCTGCACCTGCAGACCAGTGTCTTTCCTTTTCTCTCTGAAGCTCTACTTTGGAGAAATTTCTGAGGCACTGAAAAAGTGGTCTGACTGCATTGTTTGCCACACCCACACCTGGTACAGGACGTGACTACACACACACACACACACACACACACACATATGATATGCTTGTATATGCTTCTGTATATATATATATATATATATATATATATATATATATGCCTATAAATGTATGTATAGATAGATAGATACATACATACATACACACACACACACACACACACACACACACATATATGATATGCTTGTATATGCTTCTGTATATATATACATATGCCTATAAATGTATGTATAGATAGATAGATAGATAGATACATACACACACACACACACACACACACACACATTTACAAAATGAATTTCCCCAAAAGGGTGGTAGTTAAAAATTGCAAAGTAGATGCAAACCTCAAAGTGAAATGTCGTATGGCTGTGTTCCAAGGATGAATAGGTGAGAGCTAGGTGAGGAGTAAGGCTTTGTATATCCTTCTGAACAATAAAGAACATCTTGAAATCAGTATAAAATTATTTGAAAAATAGACTTTTATGCATCACAAAAGGTAAATTTTCCTGGATGCAAGTTTCTCATCTGCAATTAGTCTTCCCAAGTGAATTACCAGAAGTTTGGTATCTCTTCTTGATACAGGGCATAAGGCAGCCTGCATCCTTTCAAAGACCATTCGAGGGGTGCCTGAATGGCTCAGTTGGTTAGGCATCTGACTCTTGATCATGTCATGATCAGAGTCAAGCTCAGGTCATGATCTCATGGCTTTGTGGGTTTAAGCTCCCCATCAGGCTCTATGCGGCCCTGCAGAGCCTGCTTGGGATTCTCTTTATTGTCTCTCTGCCCCTCCCCAACTTGCACTGTCTCTGTCTCTCTCAAAATAAATAAATAAACTTAAAAAAAAAAAGACCATTCTAGAAATGTGACTTGCTCTTCCATCTGGTACATGTTTCACGTGGACCCTTTTTTTGCCCCCTGCTAAGGATCTCTCCCTTCCTCTTTTGCCCTCTTCCCCAATCTTTTCTCTCCTTGGTAAATACAGTTTCATAGGGCTATAAAATTAAAGCTGGATGGAATTGTAGAGGACTTTTAGCCCCAAATCTCAATTTATGGAGGAGATAGGAGAGGCTAAGTAACTTGTTAAATAAAGTAAGTTGCTTGTTGATGACAGATCAGAAACCATAGCTTTCCAGCTGCAGTTCAGCTGTTTGGAGAAGTTTCAGGGCTGGTCCAGTCTGATGTCCCTAAATAGTAGGTTTCTGGTCCTTTTTATCTCATCATGGTTGCCCATAGCTTCCTTGGCCAGACCCCTTGGCACTCTGTCCTCTGCACTGACATACCTGTGACCAGATGGCTGGATCACAGCTCTCCCCTCTTTTACTGCCTTTCCCCATAATGTCCAATCTTCCCTTCCACCTGTTTTGTCCACCCCATTCTACTTCCTTATCCAAGCCTTTCTTTCCAAAGCTAAGAATAGTCTTGGAATATTTTCTAGTTATTTCTAATATTTTTAGTCATCTGGAAATTTTATTTTACTTTTAAATTAATTTATCTATTTCAATGTAAAAAAAAGTTTATTTATTTGTAGCTATCTGTGGACATTAGTGCAGCAGTGACATGTTTGGAGTTACTCTACAACTCCAGGAAGGAAATCTACAAGGCTATCTTACAAAAATAATCACCGCCTCAGTGGGGTTCTGTGCCCATGACTCAGTTTTATAAAGAACTCAGTTTTGTAAACAATCAATTGTTTATATGCTCAACCTGTTCTGCTATAGTTTTGATGTTTCTGTCTACTAGAACTGTAATTAATTTTCTATTTCTGTAGTGAAAGTCCTAATAGAGGAGCTATTCTGCCAGCCACCAGTGCAATTCTAGCCTGCCAGGGTTGTATACCTTTCTTGGCGGCGGGGGGAGAACAATCACTTTATTCAGAGGAATGGGGGCCAGCCCTTAGAGTTCAGATGCTACCAGACTATGGGAGGGAAACGAACATACTCTGAGGCAGAAGAGTCAGGTTACTTATTTCCAGGACCTGATTCCACAAAGGTCAAGATTTCAAAATGCAACCCTGTGCACTGAGTCATTTGTAGTATCCACTGACTTCACCCAGGGAAACCTGCTTCCTAAAGAGAGAGGAGCTGCTTAAATGGCTGAATTTTTATGTCACATTTTGCTTGTATCATTCATTGTGTAGTTTAGCCATACTCCTTCATTCATTTATTCAAGTATGTTTCCTGAGGGTTTACAATGTACTCGGCTCTGTGCTGGGGCTTGGATAATCATAGAGACAAGATAGACACAGCCACTGCCCTCATAGACCTTCTGTTGTAATGCAGTGTTTCTCCAAAAAAGGCTTATAGAACTTCTCTTCCCAAATCCCTGAGGTGCTTGGGCTGTACCCCAGATTTCAGAATCAGTCTCTCAGAGTGGGGCTATAGAGCCTGCATTTTAAGTAAGCAACCTACATGATTCTTAAACACATTAAAGTTTGAGAAACACAGGACTAATGCATTATTATATATTGATGTGTGTGTGTGTTTCTGCTGCATCTCTAGATACAGACTTTATATCATCTTTTAATTCTTGTCATTGGCCAGACAGTGCTTTGCTGTGACAGAGTGGGTTCTTAATGAGACCCTGTTGAATAAGTGTGTATATCATAATTAATGCTTTTTAAAATTTTTTCTGATAGGTGAGCATTTAATGAGACTTTTTTTTCTATAACTGGCATTTTAATATTCTATTAAATACTTTTATATTTGGGCTTTAGTGTTTACACTTTAGTATTTTCTAATCTTTTTCTGTTTTGACTTAAGTTGTGTTAATGACTAGTTTCATAAGTTATTCTCTAAGTGAAGGGGATTGAAAAGGACATATTTACTACTAAGCCATCACTTTTGCTGAAGTGGTGAAAAGGGTCTTAACACCTTTAAATTCCCTTTAAAGTTTGATCTTCCTTTAGTGGATTCAGAAAAGAAATTTGTTCATATAAATTTTGGAAAAATATTTACTTTTGGAAAAATACTCTTCAAAGAAATGTGTACTGAAAAGCATGGTTATCATTCATGTGGTCTTATAGTAATTCTCTCCAAAAACACAATTTATTTTAAAAACCATTTTCCTCCCTGACTGACTATAATATAATTTAAATAGGTTTTGTGTATGTGTGTGTGTGTGGGTGGGTGGGTGGGTGGGT